TAAGCCAAGGTAAACAGTGGAAAATTCAGTTATAGTTTCCTCAAGGAGCATAATAGACAGTCATAAAGATTAACAGGGCTTACAATGTTTAAATGTTAAACAGAACTCTATTAATAGCTGGTATTTATTAATCATCTATATGTGAAGCACTTTTCTTTTTTTTTATTTTATTTAATGCTTATTCATTTTTGAAAGAGAGAGACAGAGCACAAGCAGGGGTGGGGCGGACAGAGAGGGGGACACAGAATCTGAGGCAGGCTCCAGGCTCTTAGCTGTAAGCACAAAGCCTGACACTGGTCTTGAACTCATGAACCGCGAGATCATGACCTGAGCCGAAGTTGGACACTCAACCGACTGAGCCACCCAGGCACCCCATTGAAGCACCTTTCTTTTGATGACTCTAGAGAAAGTTTCAGCTGCCTCTCAGTTTTTCTAATCCCTCCTTTAATTCTGCCAATAAGGAGGAATGCTAATATAAATGAAAAGGAAGGTAAGGGTATTTACTGAATCATAAAACCCTTACAAATTTCTCTTCCAAGACTTTGGCACGAGGACAGTCCTGCATCTGCTCTTGCTTAGGCTACTCCTATGGTTAGGGTAGGTTAACTGCTACAACAAAACACCCCAAAACCTCAGACTCTCAGTAAGTTTCTCACTTATGTAACAGTACAAAATAGCCATGCCTAGTTGAGGAGCTGTGTTACAAAACAGGACTTCCAGTTAGGGAATGGAATGTCTGTTTAGAAGCTAGGTCTGGAAACAGCTTAATCATTTCTGCCTGTTTCATTAGTGAGAATTCAATCACAGTAGACCCACATAACCACAGGGGATGTTTAGAAATGTAGTCTCGTAGCATGCCAAGAAGGAAAAGAAAATGGGGTTTGTTGTAGAGGTAAGTGGTAACAGTAACCACATATGTCTTAGGCTGGCCTGGGAGGAGTGGATGGATTATGCTATGTTCTAGGTTTAGGATGAAAAATTTCCTTTTGCTGGTATTCTTTAAATTTGTCTTTCTTCATCATCAGAATTTGAAAATAAGGTTAGGGATAAAAGAAACTACTCACTTGTTTTGTTTATAATCCACTAAAATATATCAGTCCAAGATGTAGGCTCAGTACAAACCAAGCTAATTGGATTCCTTTTCTAGAATATCTAGATACAAAGAAATAAATCAACTTTTTTTTAATGAGCTACCAAAAGGATGTCTCTGTGACATCCTTTGTCACAGAGAAGAGCCTGAGAAAATGAGGCTAAAACATAGACTCTGAGTCAAACGAAAAGCAAAGAATCCTGATACTCGTGAAATAAAAATAGAAGGCGCTCTTTCTCATTCTTTAGGGAAAAAATATTTTAAAAAATATTAACTTTCTCTTTAAGAATGAAAGTTAGCTTCTTACCACTAAAATTTGTTAGCTAGATAGAAAGCCAAAAGAAACACATTTTTGTTTAACAACTTACTTTTCACAAGATAAAAATTTTCTTTGTGAAAATAAAGTTACTAGTTTACTTTTCTGTTACACAAATGAAGACTTTAAAGATTTTATTGCTTCAAATGTTTGTGAAAAATTATTTACCTAATTTAAAAAGTCACAAAATAATAATTCTGAAAATTAGATAGTTTTACATTGTATCTGTTTGTGTAAATTATGCAACAATAAGCCTCAGCTTTTTTTTTTAATGCGTTGAACCCTAGAAACTACAGTTTTAACTATTTTGTTCTCTTCCTACTACAAGTAAAAATTTAATGAAATGATTTTAAACAGTTTTTGCCCCTAGAACCCAAACACAATGCAATGTGTTTTGTTTCATTAAACTTTTCTTCCTCACAGTTAACTCAAAGTTAGTTTCACCTAGGTCTTCTCTGGCTTCAGTTACATGAGCAAGGTTTTTGTTTTTGTGGTTTTGTGTTGTTGTTGTTGTTGTTGTTGTTGTTGTTGTTGTTTAGGTTAAGTAGATAAGGTTTCTGTCCTTTGCAATGGAAAGAATTTTGACAAAACAGCACTTGCTTGATCTCATTCTCCATTCATAGGGCCTTCTTCAAGTCATCAGAGGGTGACTGGGACAAAGCAGGATTCTAGATGTTGAGTCTCAGACAAGCAGCATCACCCAATTTCAAAATGACTGGCAGCCTTTTTTTTTTTTAATCCCCACAATAATCCTGCAAAATATTGTTACCCCATATAGTATTCTTAATGCCCTCCTCAAATCTCCTAGCTATGTCCTATTCATGTTATAGATAATGTTGTCCTAATGTATGTACCTGTAACTTTCCAACTTAACAGCTTTCTCTTGGCTAGCCTGGGTAGGCCAGAAGTGCTGTGGAATCCCTAGAAGTAGCCCCTCAGCCATGATGAAAGAGAGTTAAGAAATAAGTACCATTCTGTACTCATACAACCATTCTGTTTTTCACTTTCAGTATTCAATAAGTTACATGAGATATTTAACACTTTGTTATAAAATAGGCTTTGTGTTAGATGATTTTGCCCAACTGTAGGCTAATGTAAGTATTCTGTGCACATTTGAGGTAGGCTAGGGTAAACTATGATGTTCAGTAGATTAGCTGTGTTAACTACTTCTTTTAAATTAAATTTTTAATTTTAATTCCAGTATTGTTAACATACAGTGTTATATTAGTTTCAGCTGTGAAGTATAGTGATTCAACAATTCTGTTCATTACTCAGTGCTCTTCATAATAAGTGTACTCTTTAATCCCCATCAGTTATTTTACTGATCCCTCACCCAACTCCCCTCTGGTAACCATCAGTCTGTTTCTTGGTGGGGATGGGGGGAGAAAAGAATCTGTTTCTTGGTCTGTCTCTCTTTTGTCCTTTACTCATTTAGTTTCTTAAATTCCACATATGAGCAAAATTATAGGGTATTTGCCTTTCTCCGATTTATTTAGCTTAGCATTATGCTCTCTATCTCCATCCATGTTGTTGCAAATGATAAGATTTCATTCTTATTGGGGTGCCTGGGTGGCTCAGTCGGCTGGGCATCCAACTCTTGATGTCTCCTCAGGTCATAATCCCAGCGTCACGAGATCAAGGCCCACATTGGGCCCCACCCTGAGTATGGAGCCTGCTTGAGATTCTCTCTCTCTCCCTCTTTCCATCTTCCCCACTCATGCTCTTTCTCTCTCTCTCCAAACTAAAAAAAAAAAAAAAATTAAGACTTTATTCTTTTTTATGGCTGAATAATATTTTATTGTGTATAGATACCACACCTTCCTTATCCATTCAACAAAACTAAAAGGCAGCCTACTGAATGGGAGAAGATATTTGCAAATGACATATCCAATAAAAAGTTAGTATTCAGGGGCGCCTGGGTGGCGCAGTCGGTTAAGCGTCCAACTTCAGCCAGGTCACGATCTCGCGGTCCGTGAGTTCGAGCCCCGCGTCAGGCTCTGGGCTGATGGCTCAGAGCCTGGAGCCTGTTTCCAATTCTGTGTCTCCCTCTCTCTCTGCCCCTCCCCCGTTCATGCTCTGTCTCTCTCTGTCCCAAAAATAAATAAACTTTAAAAAAAAAAGTTAGTATTCAAAATATATAAAGAACTGATACAACTCAGCATCCAAGTAAACAAATAAACCAGTTAAAAAATAGGTGGGAGACATGAACAGACATTTCTTGAAGGAAGACATACACATGGCCAGCAGACACATAAAATGATGCTCAACATCACTAACCATTGGGGAAATGCACATCAAAACTACAATGAGATATCACCTTATAACTGTCAGAATGACTAAATTAGAAACACAAGAAACAAGAGTTGGTGAAGATGTGGAGAAAAAGGAACCCTCTTGCACTGTTGGTAGGAATGAAAACTGGTGTAGCCACTGTGGAAAACAGTTTGGAGGTTCCTCAAAAAAATTAAAAAATAGAACTACCCCTTGATCCAGTAATCACACTACTCGGCATTTACCCAAAAAATGCAAAAATACTAATTCAAAGGGATGCATGCACTCTTACATTTATTGCAGCATTATATACAATAGCTAAATTTGGAAGCAGCCCAAATGTCCATCAATAAATGAATGGGTAAAGAAGATGTGGTATAAACTGCTTTTTGGATTTACGTTATTTTAAATTCATATTGGATTTATCGGGATGGGACCCTATTAAAAATTGAGGGAGATCTGTAGAGGATTACTGATCTTGGCTCTGGTTTATATTTAACAGAGCTCTCCCATTCCTAATGAAGAAACAGTAGGAATGGTACATGAATTTCAGTTTTTAAGCTAGCCTCTAAAACAAAATTGCCCTGCTTTCTAACTCCAATGAAAGTTACTAATGACCTTATTACCTATAAATCCTGGGTTGTATAAAAGCATTATATAACAAAGAATTAAAAAAATTTTTTTTCTAATGTTTATTTATGAGAGAGAAGAGAGAGAGACAGAGTGCAAGTGAGAGAGGAGCAGAGAGAGAGAGAGAGAGACATAGAATCTGAAGCAGGCTCCAGGCCTGACGGCAGGGCTCGAACCCACGAACCATGAAATCATGACCTGAGCTAAAGTCCGGCACTTATCTGTCTGAGCCAACCAGGTGCCCCTATAACAAAGAATTTTTAAGTGGAATTATTTCTTTTTAAAAATCATTACCAAGGCATGTGGGTGGCTCAGTCAGTTAAGCGTCCAACTCTTGATTTTGGCTCAGATCATAATCTCACAATTTGTGGGATTGAGCCCCATGCTGGGCTCTTACTGACAGCACAGAGCCTGCTTGAGATTCTCTCTCTCCCTGTCTCTTTGCCCCTCCCCCGCTCTTTCTCAAAATAAACAAAAAATTTTTTTATTATTATCATAATTCCAGGGCAACATGACAAATACACAAACCAGTGTCTGTGATATTTTATTATCACAGTGATTAAAGTGATAGCCATAAATTATCATTATCTCTTAGGAATGCATGAAAAGAGACATGACATGCAATTCTCTTTTGTCCAGTTTTAATTATGTAAGTACATTATAAATTTTCAGTTTTTATTATGAGTACACTGTTCAGAATTTAATTGCACGTGTAAAAACTTTTAAAGCTGTTATTTTGTCCATAATTTCATATGCTCCTATCATCATTAGTGCCCGAGTTAGTTGGTCTGTTAAAGCAGCTATAGTTAGTGACAGGTTGTTACTTTCTGTTTTCCACCTATTAAGTGCTTGGCGGACTCTCTCACTTAATGAAACAGTGCTGAAAATTTTAAAGATAATATTATTTTAATGACCAATTAAGAACATTGTTTTAAGTTACTTCAATATTACTCCCCTACATTTTCAAACCAATTTACCTGATTGAAGTGAGGATTAAATTAATTGATGAAGAAAGTTTATATAAAATTTAGCACAGAGCTTGGCAAATAGTGAATGAATGTTAGCCCCATGCCAACCCTTATTTCCTGGTAGGAAATCAATTCAATTAACATTCAGTTCTAAGAGATTTACTCAAGATCTCAAAACAATAATTGTGGGTTATTTATTCTCAGGCAGTGTATTACTTCTATAGTACTACATGCTTAATAATTTAATCTCATGACACTCTCTTAGTTAAATATATCTATTTTACCAGTGGAGAAACTGAAGCACCTGTAAGTTAAGGGACTTATACAAGGTTACAAAACTCGTTGTGATTTAAAGCCAAGCAGTTTGCCTTGAGAGCCCTTACTCTTAACTACTCTACTCACATGATTCACAAATACATAGTAAACTAAAATCAGAGTCTTTTACAGCAAATTAGAATTCATGTTAATATGACTGTTTCAAAACCTTATAATATCAATATGATATAAACCAACATGAGAATAAGCTTATACCACATATTGTCACTCATACATACCTCTTTGTAGGCATATCTGTTTCTGAGATTGCCAAGCTTGGTTTTTGACACAAAAACTTAAAATTTGTTTCAGTGATATTTTTGGCAACTATGTTGAAGATCTTCTCTAGGATTTTCTCTACATTTGAACATAAAAGAAAATATAAGCCATCTCTTTTGAAAAATATACTCTACTTTGGGTTAATATTAAATCTGGGTTCCTTATTCTGTGCTCCTATCAAATGTCCATGTCAAGTAAAATTGAAAAGAAGATGCAGACCTAATTTACAAACTGAAATTTGAATCATTTGTTCTATTTTTTCTAAAATCTGAATAACCTACAACATAAAATGGCCATTTAAAAGTATATTATAGGGGCGCCTGGGTGGCGCAGTCGGTTAAGCGTCCAACTTCAGCCAGGTCACGATCTCGCGGTCCGTGAGTTCGAGCCCCGTGTCGGGCTCTGGGCTGATGGCTCAGAGCCTGGAGCCTGCTTCCCATTCTGTGTCTCCCTCTCTCTCTGCCCCTCCCCCGTTCATGCTCTGTCTCTCTCTGTCCCAAAAATAAATAAACGTTGAAAAAAAAAATTAAAAGTATATTATAAGTAACCTCAAAGTGATTTTGAAACCCTTTCTTTAATCCTTTCATGGCTTGAAATGAATTTAACTCTTTCCTTTGATTCTGGCTTCTTAATGGGCTTCTTCGTGTACCACCATGAGAAACCGAGTTCACATCTACTATAGATATAGTGTGTATATGTATATTTTATATTCAAATGACTTATTTAATGAATGCTAGCTTAGATGTAAGTAGAGAGTTTTTAGGTTTTTTTTTTTTTTTTTTAAGCTTCTAACTATCTTGGACTAGATTTATTTCGTTGACTAAGGTACTTTGGGAAGTTTCAAGAACTATCAATCTCCCACCCCTCTATAATCATCTCAGTCCCTCAGGCTAGATTGTATGCTAATGATATAAATGAAAGTCCAATATCCTAAGCAAAATCATAAGGAAGAAACCCCATGTTCTTTGTTAATTGGGGAATAAATACATTTCTCATGACAACTTCCTCTCTACTGTCCCTGGGTGCCTGCAGTATGAAGGCCCCTTGAACATAGAAAGGAAAGGGGCACCTGAGTGGCTCAGGCAGTTAAGTGCCCAACTTGGGCTCAGGTCATGATCTCATGGTGGTTTGTGAGTTCAAGCCCCGTGTTGGGCTCTGTGCTGACAGCTCAGAGCCTGGAGCCTACTTTAGATTCTGTGACTCCCTCTCTCTGCCCCTCCCCTGCTCGCACTCTGTCTCTCTCTCTCTCTCAAATATAAACACTAATTTTTCTTTTAAAAAAGGAGACAAATGGCTAGGGTTCTCTCATTTTTGCTGACTTTGATCTGTTGCCATTTCCCATTGCACTTTCCCCATTGAGGATAGAATGACATGAGTCCTCCCTCCTTGGGAACTTGAGTAACAGAATTTTAGCAGGGAAGTTCAATTGTGTAACTATACAGCCCTTCTCTAAAGTACTGTATTCCTAACAGTATTCCTATACTTTATGGATCCTTGGAAACTTCAAAAAAACTTTATTTTATAGAAATAGTTACCACAAAATATACCTTTTTAATGAAAATAATTAGGAGAACCAACTTGCTTAGCAAGTTAGAAAAAACAGCTACTGTGACTTTTAATTTTATCTCTTAGGTTCCTTCCATCAGTGAGGCCCAAATCTTGCAAAAAATTCTGACTGGTAGTGATGCATATGCATGTATATTGTGGCTTAACGATATGTATATTTTAGTGACCCTACCACTAGATTATGAGATTATGCTGATGCAAGCTTCTGATCCCACAGACAGGGAACATAGTAGAATGATTTGGGTGGAGAGTTTTGTATATTCCCTTTCCCCAAATCTGGATCAGTACGTATTAAATTGATTTAATATTTCTTAAGTACTGCGTTGAATTGGAAGACCAAAATCTGAATCCAGTCTAAGGACTGGCTATAAGAAACAAAGTCAGAGTCCTAGCAAAAAGCTTAGTTGTTGGGAATCTAGCCCCAAGGAAAAAATTGGACAGTGAAACTTCCATCCCAGAGGCTTGGAGAAACCAGTCTCCATCTGGTCCAGTGGAAAGACACTTAAAGAAAATGGACCTTCTGTGTGAAATAATCAGGGACAACCAAAGGAATGCTTAAGGACAAAGAATGAAGACTACCCACAGACTGCAGATAGGTGATCATAGTGGGCCAAAACCTGATTGGGTTCAATGGAAAGATGGAAGGACTTTCTTCAAGGCCAGATGAGAGTTTTAGAGCAACTATATATGGTGATACAGATCAGAACCAGTGAATAAATTTTTGTGTGGAATATCTAAGTTTGGCCACAACCATAATGAAAAACTTGTTGAAGGGCATTGAGGCCAACAGGTGGAAAGCAGCCCAACCCTCCACTTGGGTTTGCCTATTTTCAATGGTTTAGTTTGTGTGGACACAGATTAAATAATATGAATTATCAAAATAAACTCCTAACCTTCAGAAAAGGGAAGATAATGAATATTTCCATGCCTATGCCAGATTGAAAACCTCTAACGAAAGAAAACTATTTTCTAATTTATAGATGATACTAGAAAATGACATGTAAACTAGTGAATCACTCACTTATCACTTACCATCTCTTTGATCTGCCCTCTCTAGATAGTGTGCAATCGTATAGAGTTGTTTTCCTTTACAGATTTCCATAGGAGGTCTCAGCAAAGTGTTATCATCAAAATTTATCTCCTTCGGTGAAAAAAGGTTGTGGATATCCCTAGGCAGATCTGTCAGATTATTTCCTAGTAGAAAAAAATTATAATTGAATTATACCTTTCTGTATAAAGAAAAATATGAAGATAAACAACTATTTATGGAGCATTTACTGTGTCTCACTGGCACAGTACCAGAGGACCCTCACAGTGCTGGCAGATGTAAATTCTTACTGAAGTCCACTTGCTAGGCGTGAAAAGGAGGATGTATAGAAACTGAGCTGTGGTTCCATTCTCTCAGAGGATGGAAAAATGAGTTAAGAGGCTGTCCTCTTACAGTACGGGAAAGTGATGGTAATTTTTTAAGGATAATTAGATTGTTTAGAATAATTTCAGATTTACAGCAAGTTGCAGAAATTGTAGAGAATTCTTGAATATAGATTCCTCATCCAGATTTAGTTTCCCCTAATGTCATCATCTCACAATATCATATTATATTTGTCAAAACTAGGAAACTAACATTGGCACATTACTATTAAACTTCAGACAATTTTGGATTTCATTAGTTTTTCTATCGGTGTCCTTTTTCTGTTCCAAAATCCATGCCAGGATAACACATTGCATATAGTTATGTCTTCTTAGTCTCCTCTGGTCCGAGACAGTTTCTCAGTCTTTCCTTGTTTTTCATGATCTTCACAGTTTTGAATAGTAATGACTAGGTATTTTGTAGAATATTCCTTAGTTTGAATTTACCTGATATATTTTCTCATGATAACACTTGGGTTATGGGGTTTTTTGGAAAGAATGCCACAGAAGTGAAGAACTCTCATCATATCACAGCAAAGGTACCTAATACCTGTATGACATCACTAGCGATGTTAGGCTTGATCCCACAGCTAAATTAGTGTCTTGCCAGGTTTCTCCAATATAATGTTGTCATTCTTTTCTTGTCCATACTCTATTTTTTTAGAACTGAGTTCCAAACTAAGCTAAGTCTAGTCCACCATCAAGGAGTGTGAATTAAACTCTACTTCCCTAAATATGTTTTCAACATCACCTTACTCAATATAAACTAAACATAAAAAGTAAAGTTGTGGTAACTGACAAGGTAAGAATTTGTAATCATTTAGAGAGGAACTGGCCTAAAGTTTGCCTTTATTTATACATTTATAGTTATATTATTTATAGTCATAAATAAAGGAACCTGCTTCCTTTTAATGAAGAATGGCATTCAGAAACCAAGATCTGGGGGCACCTGGGTAGCTCAGTTGGTTGAGCATCCAACTCTTGATTTTGGCTCAGATTGTGATTTCATGGTTGTGGGATAGCTCTGCACTGGGCATGGAGTCTGCTTGAGATTCTCTCTCCCTCTCACTCTGTCCCTCACTCCCTTGCTTGTGCATGCTCTCACTTTCTCTCTCAAAAAAAACAAAGAAACCAAGATCTGGAGATCTGGATACTAGTTTTGCTCATTGCTTTTGGGAATGGGTATGTGCAGATAGATGTACAAATACATACCTACATATGTATATGGGGTTTTATAAACATTGTAAGCCCATAATTATAAATATATAATGTTTATGCATATGTATAATAAATATAAGTCACAACATATTCTATTTAGGGTTTGACTTTAATTTAGCATAATACATTAGAGATTTATTGGTGTCTATTGACATAGCAATAGTTTGTTCCTTTTTATTAATGAGAAGTATTCCATTATATGGATGTGATAATGTATCCATCCACTAAATAAGTGATGTTTAGAATGATTCCACTTGATATGAATGAATAAATAATGAAAAATAATGAAATGAAATGAAATGAAATGAAAAATAATGAAAAATAATGAATAAAACCACTCTATATATTTGTACTCAGTTTTTTATTGAATCTAAATTTTCATTTCGCTTAAAAGTGTAGTTGGAGTGTGATTGATGGGTTGTATGGTAAATATACATATAACTTTATAAGAAATTATGAAACCGTTTTCTAGAGTGTGTACCCTTTTGCATTCCTACCATCAGTGTATCAGAGTTCCAGGTGTAGTTCTTGGTAATGTCAGATTTTAATTTTAGTTATTCTAATACAAAGATCTCATTGTAGATTTAATTCATATTTCTCTCATGACTAATGATATCATTATATTTTCTTATGCTTATTTGCCATTCATATACATTCTTTGTAAAGTGTTCACAATTTATGCCAATTTTTCTTTTTTTTCAAGTTATTATTTACATTCCAGTTAGTTAACATACAGTATAATATTAATTTCAGGTGTGGAATTTAGTGGCTCATCACTACAAGTGCCCTCCTTAACCCATCACCCACTTAACCCATCCCTCACTCATCTCCCCTCTAGTAACCTTCAGTTTATTCTCTATAGTTAAGAGTCTGTTGCCTGGTTTACCTCTTTTCCCCCCATGTTCATCTACTTTGTTTTTTCAATTCCACATATGAGTGAAGTCACATGGGATTTGTCTTTCTTAGACTTATTTCACTTAGCATAATACTCTCTAGATCCATCCATGTTGTTGCAGATGGCAAGATTTTTCTTTTTTATGGCTGAGTAATATTCCATTATATATATGTCCCATATCTCCTTTATCCATTCATCAGTTGATGGAAATTTTGGTTCTTTCCGTAACTTGTATGCCAATTTTTATTGAGTTAACTGCTCAGTGTTGACTTTTGACAGTTATTTTTTATATATTCAGCAAATATTTTCTTCCAGTCTGTGGCTTTTCTTTTCATTCTTTTAACAACACTTTTTGAAGAGCAGAGGTTTCTAATTTTGATGAAGTTCAATTTATTAATTTTTTAAGGATTGTGATTTTGGTGTTATATCTAAGAAATATTTGCCAAGGTTACAAAGATTTTCTTCTATGTTTTTATCTAGAAGTTTTATAGTTTTAGCTTTTACATTTAGATCTGTGATTCATTTTGAGTTGATTTTTTTATATGGTATGTGGTGTGGATCAAAGTTTTATTATTGTTGCAGTTTATCTTGTTTTTTGGCTTCTGGTCATCTAGTTGCTCCAGCACCATTTGTTGAAAATACCATCTTCTCTGTTGAATTACATGTGCATATTTGTCAAAAATCAATTGACCATATATGCATGGGTCTATTTCTAGCCTATGTATTGTGTTCTACTGATCTATGTCTGGTATTTTGCCAATACTACACTTTACTACCATAGCCTTTCATAAGGCTTAAAATCAGGTTTCAGGAGTCCTTCAACTTTGTTCCTTTTTCAAAATAATCCTAAAATTTGTATGAATCACAAAAGACCCCAAATAACCAAAGCAATCTTGAAAAATAAAAATACAGCTGGATGTATCACAATTCCAGACTGCAAGATATATTACAAAGCTGTAGTAATCAAAACAGTATGGTACTGACCCAAAAACAGATACATAGATCAACAGAACAGAATAAAAAACCCAGAAATGAACCCACAATTATATGGCCAATTAATTTTTGACAAAGCAGGAAAAATATTAAATGGCAAAAGAATGTCTCTTCTACAAATGGTGTTGGGAAAACTGGACAGCAACATGCAAAAGAATGAAACTGGACCACTTTCTTACACCATACACAAAAATAAATTTAAAATGGAATAAAGACCTAAATGTGAGACCTGAAACCATAAAAATCCTACAAGAGAACACAGGCAGTAACTTATTTGACATCAACTGTAGCAACTTCTTTCTAGATATGTCTCCTAAGGCCAAGGAAACAAAAACAAAAATAAACTATTGGGACTTCATCAAAATAAAAAGCTTCTGCACAGTGAAGGAAACAATCAGCAAAACGAAAAGGCAACCTATGGAATGGGAGAAAATATTTGCAAATGACATATCTGATAGTTAATATTCAAAATATATAAAGAACCTAGGAAACTCAACACCCCAAAAATGAGTAATCCATTTTAAAAATGGGCAGAAAACATGAATAGACATTTCTCCAAAGAAGACATACAGGTAACAAACAGACATGTGAAAAGATGCTCAACATCACTGATCATCAGGAAAATGCAAATCAAAACTACAATGAGATATCCCCTCACACCTGTCAGAATGGCTAAAATCAACAACACAAGAAACAACAGGTATTGGCAAAGATGTGGAGAAAGGGGAACCTTGTGCACTGTTGGTGGGAATGCAAATTGCTGCAGCCACTCTGGAAAACAGCATGGAGGTTCCTCAAAAAGTTAAACATAGGACCTTACGATCCATCAATTGCACTACTAGATATTTACCCAAAGAGTAAAAAATATTAATTCAAAGGGATACATGCATCCCGATGCTTACAGCAGCATGATCAACAATAGCCAAATTATGGAAACAACCCAATTTCCATCGACTGTTGAATAAAGAAGATGTGATACATGTAATACAATGGACTATTACTCAGCCATAAAAAGAATGAAATCTTGTCATTTGCATTGACACGGATGGAGCTAGAGAGTATTACGGTAAGTCAGTCGGAGAAACTGACTTCACTCATACATAGAATTTAAGAAACAAAACAAAAGGGTAAAAAAGAGAGAGAAAGGCAAACCAAGAAACAAATTCTTAAATATAGAGAACAAACTGATGGTTACCAGAAAGGAGGTAGGTAGGGGGGTGTGTTAAATACGTGATGGGGATTAAGGAGTGCACTTGTAATGAACACCAGGTGATGTATGGAAGTGTTAAATCACTATATTCTACACCTAAAACTAATATTACATTTTATGTTAACTAAGTGGAAAATAGTGTGAGATTGGCATAGGTTTGACATACAGACTAATGGAATAGAATTGAGAGTCCAGAAATAAATCCACATATTATGACCAATTAATTTTTTTTCTCTAATTTATTTATTTTTTATAATTTACATCCAAGTTCATTAGCACATGGTGCAACAATGATTTTAGGAGTAGATTCCTTAAGCCCCTTACCCATTTAGACCATCCCCCCCCACAACCCCTCCAGCAACCCTCTGTTTGTTCTTTATTTTTAAGTCTCTTATGTTTTTTCCCTCTCCCTGTTTTTATATTATTTTTGCTCCCCTTCCCTTATGTTCATCTGTTTTGTATCATAAA